TATGATGATGGTTACAAGAATCATGGCTTTTTACAAGAGGGATCAGTTCTTTGTATGATGGAATAGGTGGTTTAAACATGGTTGTGACAAAATTTTCATAGCTTGGTCCTAACCCTTGCAAAAACCAAAAAACTTTGTTTTTATCTGGAATGATCTTACCATTTGTGGAGAGTTCATCACAAAGAGCTTTGAATCTTCTGATGTACTCACTTAGAGTGTCATCACCCTTTTGGATACTTGAGATCTCCTGCATTAAGTAAATTCTCTTTCTTGAGAGCTTTGAACAAAGTGATCCTCCAATGCCTTCCAAACTTTCAATGAAGTCTTGAGTCCAACAGCAATTCCAAGTACCTCTTTTGATAAGGTACTAGTGATCCACCCACAAAGAGGACGATCAGACCATCTCCAAGCTGCATAAGTTGGATTTGGTACTTCCTTCTCATTTGAAAGTACCTTTGGATCAGGCATTTCATACTCGCCATCGATAAAACCCCATAGTTCTTGACTTTCAATTAAAGCCATCATTTGGGTTCTCCAGAGTAGGTAATTGTCTGAGGTGAGTTGGAGAGAAACAAAATTGGCTACATTAAGTGTGGCCGGATACAGGTAGTTTTTTGAAGATGTTGTTGTTTGTTGGGTAGGAGCTGAGGACATGTTGTATGGTATTTTGGTTCTCCTCACCGAAAAGCTCTGATACCATAAAAATGTTTATAGAACCAGAATCAATGAAAGTTTCTCTCGAGGTGAGGAGAGAAAGATATATTTCCACTATTTATAATATTTTACAGCACCTTACATTGTGGCATGATTTTAGGAATCATTGCTATCAATACTAGATACCAGATACAAAGAATGCAGAATATATTTAGTGGCCAACGGTCATATTGGAATTATTATGGGATTCTTTCCTTTTGTTTCAGTTTGAATTCTCTTTGGAATTACTCTATTAGTCTCCATATTTCGCTCATTTTTAGGAGCTTGACTAACTTCTTTACTGTTGCTGACTTGAATGATTTCTTTTCTGATATTGCTCTCCTTGATTTTCTCCTAATGCTTATGTCCTTGAATCTCTTCAATCTTTCAACCTGGATTTGCTTGATTGTTGCACCTGGTTTGTTCTCCAATAAAAGCTTCAGAACAATGCTAGTAATCATGGAAAATAAAAATTGTAGATGCAATTGTTGTTGAACAGGCAATTAATTTTAAGAAGCTTTTCTACTAATTCGTAAGAAACCTTATCTCTAAAATACAATGTGGACTTAAGTGAACTTCAATCACATAAACAGTACACAAAATACTAAACGTAAAGTCTAGAAATTTACTAAAGCCAAAAGTCTAGATATTAAAAGAAAGACAACAACGAACACTAAAATTCCCAGAATAAGAAGCAACTGTTGTGGGTTGTTTTATTTACGTATAAACTCCAATAGA